GAGAGAGAGAGAGAGAGAGAGAGAGAGAGAGAGAGAGAGAGAGAGAGAGAGAGAGAGAGAGAGAGAGAGATGATGGATGGATGGATGGTAGGTAGGTAGGTAGCTAGACAGAGAGATAGCTATATTATATGTGTAGATAGATAGATAGATAGATAGATAGATAGATAGATAGATAGATAGATAGATAGATAGATAGATAGATAGATAGATAGATAGATAGATAGATAGATAGATAGATAGATAGATAGATAGATGATAGATAGATAGATGGATGGATGGATGGATGGATGGATGGATGGATGGATGGATGGATGGATGGATGGGTAGGAGATAGGTAGGTAGGTAGGTAGATAGGTAAAGAGAGAGAGATGATAGATAGATAGATAGATAGATAGATAGATAGATAGATAGATAGATAGATAGATAGATAGATAGATAGATAGATAGATAGATAGATAGATAGATAGATAGATAGATAGATAGATCGATCGATCGATCGATCGATCGATCAGGCAGGCAGGAAGGCAGCTAGATAGAGATAGCTATATTATATGTGTAGATAGTTTTGATAGATAGATAGATAGATAGATAGATAGATAGATAGATAGATAGATAGATAGATAGATAGATAGATAGATGATGGATGGATAAAGAGAGAGAAGAAGAAAGAGAGAAAGAGAGAGAGCTAAAGAAACATAAAAAGAGACATAAAGAGAGAGAGAGAGTGTTGAATCCATTTTGAACACATAGCAGAAAAAGGAATCTTGAGAATTTACAAGTCACCCAAGTCGGCTCAAACAGAACTTATAAAACATTTCGGGTGATATTTGCAACGGGTGCTCCCGAAAGAAAAAAGGATGGGTCCAAGGGAGATTTAAAAGGAAGATTTTTAGGGATGAATGCCAAATGTCCTGATTTTTTTATGGCTCGTCCCCCTCCCCTCTCCTCAGCCGTCCGTTTTGAGCCGTGGGAAAAGGAGAGAAATTTCCTTACTATGGGCAGACTGGCTGGGTGGCGCCAGTTTCCTGGAGCCCACGTTCGGGATGGCAATGCCGTCTTTCTCCTTGGCGCTGCACTCCTGCCCCACTTCTAGCACCTGAACCTGGGGCAAGGCTGCGTTCCA